AAGCAAGGTTGTGTCATTTGCATATTGAAAGTTGTTAATGAGTCTTCCCCCAATCCTGATGCTACCTTCTTCCTAGCATCCAGCTTCTCAGCACAAAGATTGTATAAGAATGATGAAAGACATAACCGATGTATACCTTCCCTTGCTTTAAACCGCACAGGCGAGGAGGGGTGAGTGGAGGCCGTCCTCCGGGCCCCCCAGGAGATCACGGCAGGGAATCTCCTGCCTCCGGAATGGCTGTGCCATCAGAAGAGCAGCCGCACGATCTGGAGGCAGAGCAGGGACCTCCCAGCCCACGATGCAAATAAAGGTGAGCACTTTGGTGCTGCCTTGCAGAGTGGGGTGCTTATGGGCACTAAATTGGGGAAGCTGGGCTTGCTGACCCACAAAAGTGGAGCTGAGGACCTTTGGGCTGAGGCTTACTGGAACCGGGCCTCTGGATTCTGAATTCGTGGAGCTCAGTTTGCTGACCCACCGAGCTTGAGTTTAATGCCTTGGGGCGGAGGCTTAGAGCTCAGTGATGTGCCCTTTAGGCATCAATTAGCAACCCTGAACACCCTTTGTAATTTGTCCAGATGAACCACTATTTCCTGAGCAATTCTCACTTGCCTTGTGACCTGTTCATTTCCTTAATAGATTCTTCAATCATGGTTTTTATCTGTGAGTTCTGGGCAGCCATTGCAATAGATACTAAAGCATAGATGTAGAGAATGTTACTGAAGACAACATAGGTCTCCAGTCAATCCCCAGAGACATTGCAGCTTGGACTTCTTCCTTTAATATCATCAGCTCTTGATCAATGCTGCCTCCTGAAATGGTTTATCAGATTTAGCAAATAAAAATATAAGATAGCCATTCTATTTGAATTCCAGATAATCATTTGTTTTAGTATGTGTCTTACACATGATAATTTATTTATCTGAAATTCACATTGAACCAGGCATCTTGTAGCTGGCATTCCTAACACAAAAGGATCCGTAACTTGGAGTGAGCATATTCAATTTTGTACGAGGAGAAGGCCCCAGAGT